CGCTCATTAAATGTTTGGCACAATATTCGCTCCCGAAAACAAAGAAAAAATGAGACGTAATTTTTTTCCATATTAAAATATTGTTGAGTTTAATGCTCATCAAAGTGCATGTGACYAATTTTGATGAAATTTTACGTATCTGTGCAAACGCATTCAATAAACATTTATTGATCATTAAACAGAGTATTTATCGCTGCCCCACGTCACCCGCTACCCCCAACAACATACGTTTTAAACCCAATTTAAAAAGTAATAAAAATGTTTATAATAGAATTTTTTCGCGTGATTTTATTTATTAATTTGTATTCATCAATTGTATTCGTTTAGAACATGATGTTAGCTTAGTATAATATTATAATATTTATTACGTTTGTTTTTTTTGTTTGTGTTTAAGTTATTTATAATTTTTTTCCCTCAATGGGAACCTTATTATTAATAGTTATATATTTAATATTTACCAAAATCTAAATGTGCAATATATTATGTGTTTGATGTTTTAAATAAAACGCAACTATGATCAATTTAAATAAATGAGTTTTATTCGCTGCACTTACTTTCGTCATTAAGGAGACGCCCACAYCTATAAATTGTTTAAAAACCCTGTTTCCCRCTGGAAAAATTATTTTGGCTGCAGTCAAATAGATTAGTACAAGTTTTGTTAAAATAAAAAGTTATATTTTACTGCATCATAGTGTTTTCGTTTTATCGTTATTTAAAATAAAAAAAAATCATTTAAATTGAAAATCCCATAGAACTTGTTTATTGTGGTATAACTATATAAGTTGCAGTGGCACTGTTAAACTCAGAATACCCTTGTGATTGGCTTGTGAAAACTAATTTTCCATCATCACTTATGATGTATAAAATACTGAAAACTATCATCAAGAAAAACATAATATATGTTTATAAGTGTGTATAAGGTAATAATTTGAATTTCACTACAAATTTAATCATCATTATCATTCTCTAAACGGCTTAAATATTCATAGAAAACCATTATTATTTATTTTAACATACAATGTTTAATTGAAAAATTATTATGGTTGTAGACAATGTGACGATGGGAACTCTTAAGAGTAGATCAAAATCGTATGACACAAAGAGCTCTTTGAGGTCAAATAGTGAATAAAAAACACTGTATCGTTGGTGTATTTCCCGATCCTAGTATTTTTCAGCGCTGGGGCTGAGCCAAAAACTCTGTGCATGATGTATACATGTTTTTATTGATAGTAATCTGATTCAGCGCGAAGCGCTGAACCTGAA